GCGCGCGCCCCGGGGAGCAGCCTGGCCGGCAGCCCCGGACGCGGCTGGGTACCACCGGGCTGGGGGACGGGGAGAGCAGCTCTCAGTGATGCAAAATCTGTTCCCATTGCCTTGTGCTGCTGGCCATCGCTTCCAGCATCAGGGCATCCGAGCGTATCATTCCTCTTCCAGTCCCGGCGTGCTTTAGCAGCATCCTCCATCCCTCACCAGCCTTGTGCCTTCCCTGTCCCTTCTAGTGCTGCAAAGAATCAGCGGCTTCTAGCCAGGAGGCTCGCGTGGCTGCGAAATAGCGAGGCTGAGCTGGAAATGTCACCTCTGCCCGTGCCAAGCTTGGCTGCACGGGGTTAGCATGGGACAAGATTGTTTTCAAAGTGACCGTGGTGTTCCCTGGCATCGCAGTGGGCATCAGGTCCTGCACCTGCTGCAGTATCGATGGTGTTGGGTGACCTGGTTATAACACACTTATCGCACGGTTCAAGTCCACTGACCTGATACTTTTGCAGTGCCGAGGACCCCGCGGCTCCTAGAGACTCCAGAGGCACCCAGACATCTCCCTGGATGTCAGAAAATCGGGGCGTAATTTGAGGAATGCGTTTAAAATAGCTCCTCTCTGTGCTGCAAGAAAAAAAAAATCTGCTTTAATCACGTTTGCAGCAATTAGGTTCCAATTGGGGCCGTTGGCATGCCGCGTTTTTATTGTGCGATGGGGATTTACGATGCCCGAGGCTGCCAAAGCCCACGCAGCTGGATCCCGACAGCCTCAAACGGCAGCAGCGCTGGGGCTCATGTTGCTCCCGTTGGTTTATTTTCATGTGGATCTGTCTGTCCGGCTTTATAATGAGATTATGAGCTTGGGGAACCGGGAGTTTGCTCTGTGTTTGGCTGTGTCGAGCACAGGGGATGCCTGGCCCGTGACCGATGCTCCCCGAGAGCATCAGCGTGTCGCTGGCATAGCAGAGCCACCGCTGCAATTAATGCTGGAAAAAAAGAAAATTGAGATTAATGGGTTAAGGTGCAAACCAGCGGTTTGCTTGTAATGTATTCCTCGGGTGCTCGGGATGGAAAAGCTAAAGACCTGCGTTTAAGCACATTAACTGGAGCGCTTAGCCGGGATGCGCTGACGCTTTGAAGGAGTCGTGCGTCGCTGGGATGTGCCGCCCCGGAGAAGGTGAGCAGGAGCTTTGCGGGATCCGTCTGCTCCCGGATCCCGGTGCTGCAAAGGTGGGAAGGAGAAGGACTCGCGCACGAGGGAGACGGTGATGGTGCATCGTTCTGCCGGTTAATCCTCCTGAGTAACGGGCTTGGAGCTGGCAGGTGAAACTATTTTGCTAAAGCAGGAGGAGGATCCTGCAGCCCAATTAAAGGATTAGGGCTGAAAGCCAGTGCATTGCCTCTAAGTGCATCAGTTTATTAAGAGCAGGGAAAAAAAGCCGTTTCTCATGCTGTGGTACCCACCAGCTCCCGCGGGTTTGAGTGCATGGGAAGCTCTTCCATCCCTGGAAGGGATTTGGGTGTCTTCCTTGGGAGGGTGCTGCTCCTTCATGACTCAGCCATGCAGCAGTGCTGGGTGGGGGGCAGGCATCGCTTCTCGGAGGCGGTTCGGGTGGGATGAACTCTGGTTTCTGCTTGAAACAGGGGAAACTGAGGCCCATGGGGATGACGTGAGCTGCCCAAGGGGGTCCATAGCAGGATGCAGGGGTCAGGTATTTTAAGGTTGAAGTCAGACCGTTGCTTGAGCATCCAAACCCTGTGCATGTGTGCTCGAAATGGGGCCCGTGTTGCCTGTTGTTTTCGGGACTGTGCCAGCAGAGACGAAGACACGACCTTTTTCGGTTGATTTATTTTCTAAAGAGAAAAGAGCCGCTGGGTGAGAGGGAAAGCAGAGGCAGAGATTACCCGATAAATCGGTGGGGGAAGCTGGCGGCCACCTCTGCAACAGCAAGCGTT